AGAATGATCGCTATGGAGCGCCCTAGATGTTAGTGGCATTCACCTTCATCCGTACCTGCTGCTTTCAATCACGCTATTAAGAAGGATCTCACCTGTTGGACTCGTACGTGGCGTTTATACACTGCTACTGGCGGGGATGAGTGGACGTAGTGTGTTTATACGGGCCGCTATGGCGGGATGAATTGGACGTAACGTGCGTTTATACGCTAATGGCGGGAATGAGCTGCCCCCTCTGGCCTAACGTTAACGTGGCGTTTATACTCCGCATTCCGCGTCTAGTCTATAGAGACTGTGATGCCCAGTTTCCATGACGCTGGACGTACGTGCGTTTATACCCTATAGTATGGGATGGACAGGTTGGACGCGCGACTCTGGACCGTACGTGCGTTTATTACGCTATCGGAGGGATCGAGTTGGACGTTACGTGGCGGTTTAGTACGCGCCGTATGAGGGGGATGAAGTAGGACGTACTCCCGGTGGCGGGATGAGTGGACGTACGTGCGTTTATACGCTCTGGAGGGATGAGTGGAGGTACGTGCGTTTATACGCTATGGCGGGATGAGTGGACGTACGTGCGTTTATACGCTCTGGAGGGATGAGTGGAGGTACGTGCGTTTATACGCTATGGCGGGATGAGTGGACGTACGTGCGTTTATACGCTCTGGAGGGATGAGTGGACGTGCGTGCGTTTATACGCTATAGAGGGATGAGTGGACGTACGTGCGTTTATACGCTATGGCGGGATGAGTGGACGTGCGTGCGTTTATACGCTATGAAGGGATGAGTTGGCGTACGTGCGTTTATACGCTATGGAGGGATGAGTGGACGTACGTGCGTTTATACGCTATAGAGGGATGAGTGGACGTACGTGCGTTTATACGCTATGGAGGGATTAGTGGACGTACGTGCGTTTACGTGCGTTTATACGCTATGGAGGGATGAGTGGACGTACGTGCGTTTATACGCTATAGAGGGATGAGTGGACGTACGTGCGTTTATACGCTATGGCGGGATGAGTGGACGTACGTGTGTTTATACGCTATGGCGGGATGAATGGACGTACGTGCGTTTATACGCTATGGCGGGATGAGTGGACGTACGTGCGTTTATACGCTATAGAGGGATGAGTGGACGTATACGTCCACTCATCCCTCCATAGCGTATAAACGCACGTACGCCCACTCATCCCTCTATAGCGTATAAACGCACGCGTGCGTTTATACGCTATGGAGGGATGAGTGGACGTACGTGCGTTTATACGCTATGGAGGGATGAGTGGACGTAAGTGCGTTTATACGCTATAGAGTGATGAGTGGACGTACGTGCGTTTATACGCTATGGCGGGATGAGTGGACGTACGTGCGTTTATACGCTATAGAGGGATGAGTGGACGTACGTGCGTTTATACGCTATAGAGGGATGAGTGGACGTACGTGCGTTTATACGCTATGGCGGGATGAGTGGACGTACGTGCGTTTATACGCTATAGAGTGATGAGTGGACGTACGTGCGTTTATACGCTATGAAGTGATGAGTGGACGTAAGTGCGTTTATACGCTATAGAGTGATGAGTGGACGTACGTGCTGGATGCAGTAGTGAAATTCCTCAATGGTCTTCACCGCGTACGTCGTCGATAAGCATATCGGCACGACGAGCGGTTGCGATAGACGCTGCTCGACGAGATCCAGGTGAAGCTGTGCACGGGTAGAGGCTGCGCAGTGCTCCTCCTCCTCCTCCTCCTGCCCCTCCTGCTTCCGCTGGTCCGCGACAGGCGGCGCTACGCTCGCTCCACTCTTCTGCTCGCTCATGCTGCAGAGAGACCAGAACACGTGTAATGGTTGGTTATCGTACTATCGTGCACCGTATAGTGGTCGCGACGGTATCCTCACCGATACTAAACGTCTATCATATATACACATAAAATACGCAAGTCTGATATACGTATTTAGAGTACAACAACATCTTTAATGAACAGAAACTAACTAACGTATACGCCCATGAACTAGGCAGAAACGTGTACATAGGTGTGCGCGACACATGAACATAACTTACGATTGAAACGTGAATACGCTGCTCAACGAACGCAAAAGACGGATGTTTACTAGGTTCTCGAACTAGTGTCAGAATCTGTCAGGAGATGGTCTTTTTTCCCGCACAATGGTGCAGCGCCGTTTATATGCGCGTCAGTCTATAGTCTTAGTTCTGGTGACTAGACCTTATCCGGCGCTCTCATTGGCTGGCACGTACTGGTACCGTATTGTGTCAGTGCTCAGCGTTAAACAAAGCCTTCGTCTACAAACATCTTGTTCTATTTATATCCAAGCTGTTATCCTTGTTTTCCATAATTACTTATTAACTAATTTCTCTGCATTACACACCTGACCATTATGATAATCCAATTATAATAACAATTATACAAGTGCCGCGGAGCGACAGCGCTCATCTAACGTCTACTGCGGTGACTCTGTGGTGGAGTGGTGGGATTCTAGTAAACCCTGTTAGTCCCAAATGTGTTCACATACACGCCTAAACAGTGGAATGCACAGGGATGGTATCAGGAACCTTCTCAAAGGAATGTTCATTGGGATCGTTATGAAAGTTGCCACGAGATGGCGCGTACGTTTAAGTGTCTTCAGATTAAAGATGGAAGCTCTTATTGTACGTAGTAGCAACAACTATTTGCTAGACAGAATAGGTAAGCA